GAGGCACACGCAGAAGACTACGCAACTATCACCGGGGCGACCTGGGAAGACTGCGTGAAGGCATCAGGGCACAGACGCAACAGCGGGGAGCGCGATGCGCACGTGCGTACAGCACTGGCATGTTGGGACGAGACCGCGCGTGGCGAGAAGAGCAGGTCCGCGTGACTGTAAAACAACGAGTCGCATATTTCACTGGCGTGATCGGATACGCGCGCAAGAACAGAGACGCGCGTGTTAGTGTTATATACTGAAAGCTTGACTTTGGATGATATAACAATTTTACCATTTATGAATGATAATCATGTTAGATTAAACAAGTTCTATGTTATGTTGTTTTGCACTTAGATAGAATGGGTCATCATCGGGCAAACCAAAAATCATTCTATCAGTTACTTGCGAAACAAGAATTGTGGTTCACAACCTACATGGAAATGAACACCCTATCTCTAACGGTGTAGTGTCAACGGTACAGTTTGTCTTGACTGATTAGTTGCAGTAGTACATTTATGTATTGAACAGGATCCCAGAGAGGAGAAGTTCGTTTTATACTAATCTTCGTAAATGAACTAGGCCTCGGATAATTACTTTCTCTTAACCCATAAGATATCAAATAGACATATATATGCAATATATGTTATTTTGATTCACTTGGGTGAGGTTCAATTCAGTTCGCTGAGTTAATATTCCTACTGTATTGGGTAATATTGATGCATATATGATATGATGTTAGGATATTTAAGGTCAGCATATACGTTTAGTTTGATGATGTCCCCGAAGTGAGTTCATAAGGATTATTATGCTAAACCCTGCAGGTGGGTTAAATTTCGTCATAGTAATAATGTGATGAACGAGCGCTAACTTCGGTGAAATAATAATAAATTAATTAATTCGTGATTAGAGTAATTGAATTAATTAATGAACATTATATCTTAAACATGGGAAGATAATTTGGGTAATTATAACTGGAGTCCCAAATGTAAATTGGGCTAGGAAAAATGAGTGCAATAATATTATGTTAGTGACCCATAATATTATTTAATTAATTAGAAGAGTGGGTGTGGCCCACATTTAGTCTAATTAATTAAAGAATCCTATTCCTAATCTACTAAGGGTCTCTACTGTAGTTCTATATAAACATCATTAAGCTCATGAGAAGAGAAGAATAATCCCATTATTCATAAACACACGCACGCTCGCGCCCCTCTCTCTCTCTAGATCTCTTTCGAGCTTTATCTTCTTCTTGTTGCTCCACTGGTACAAGTTGAAGAGGTGTTTTCAGATATACAGTAGAAGATCCCGTGGTAATTAAAATACATATATTTATCAACCCCTGAGATCAACCGAGCCGACGAGTCACGACCCGACCAACCGCGACCCGCCGACCCAGCTCTGCCCGAGCACCGCCCCGAGCCGCCGCTACCCAGCTGGAGCCGCCACCTGTCGCGACGCGTGACCCGGAGGAAGCTGGCGATCCAACTGGCCCAACCCCGTGACTCGGCCAACCCAACAGGCGACCCATGTGACTCGATCGTGAGCCCGACGTTCCGTTCGTGATCCCGACGTGTTCGTGTGTTCATCTCGGTCAATTCGAATCAGCCAGATTCTGAAAAATTTTATGCCTTAAGTTTTCTACGTCAAACTTTTAGATCCGTTGCGCATAGGTTTACATTTGCTATTGAATTCGTGATTTGTACATAATGAGATCCTTGCAGATCCCAACAAGTGGATCGAAGAACTTGGTTAATCTATTTTGTAAGTTCAAATTTTTACGGCTTTATTTGACAAGATGTGTTCAAACGCAGCCATATATATTGGATTACATTCGCATAACTTGGTTTTGCAAGAATTAGTTTAATCCACTATTATGGCTGACTATGTGTTTGATGAATGTTGTTGAATGTGATGTATGATTTTAAATTTGTTTTTAAAGCCTCGAATATGTCGAGGAATTTATGGATGAATGTGTCATAATTATTCGCATGGGGGTTGACCGGATAAATTTAATTATTCGTTTAGAAAAAAACATGCACATCCATTCGTTGGATCTATGATTGGATTATGTAATTTTGTAAATTATATTTTTCGTATTGTGATCGTGTATTGATGACCAAGAGATCAAAGGATCAACGAATCTAGAAAAATCAACCGAACCGGAGCCCGACTGGCAGCGCATGTCACGCGCATAGAAGAAAAAAAAATAATTATTTCACCGGATTTTCATCGGTGACCGGCGGCGGCGGCGACTGGTGGGCGGGTGTTTTACTTGGCGGACAAGCAGTACAATATCAACAAGGATTCTACTGCAATGAGAGTTCCAGTTGAACATGGAAAGAATATACAAGGTTTCCTTGTATAAGGAGACTCTATATTTAATGGTCATAATAGTGGATTTATTTTATTTATTTATTTACATTTATTATGCCTTCATTTATTACTTTATGCATGTTAATTAATTATTACTTTTACATGGGATTAATTTAGAACTAGTACAGAGCCCGTGCGATGCACGAGGTGTACAATTTTAAGGTCATTTATCCATTATTATAATTATATAAATGAATAAAAAAAGTATACGGGATATATATAGTACGTGACCTGTAATATGCCAAAATGTGAACAGGGGTGATGCATGGGAGTACACAATTTTAAGGTCATTTATTATTACAGAGCCCGTGCGATGCACGGGGTGCACAATTTCTAGTATGTGTAATAAAAATACATACCGTATGCACGGGACAGAAGCACTAAATGAGTCATTTCCACAGAGCTTGCCTGTTAAGTAGCTCCTGAACACGGGTGCACAATTTGTAGTACGTACCATAAAATCAGAACAGATTTCCATACAATTAGATAATAAATTAGATAATAAATAAAGCCTTTTTTTTATTTTAGTAAAGATTTTACGTATTTTATATTTTTACTTGTCGGATGTTATGGGATTTTTTTTAACCGATTTTATGGAATATAATACAAATACAATTAGAGGATTGAACAAAATCAGAACAAATTTTCATACAATTAGATAATAAAAAAATTAGATAAGGAATAGAAGGAATTAGATAAGAAAAAGAAGGAATTAGATAAAGAATTTTGAATTTGACTTTTTTTTTTGGATAGATAGACTTTACGTACAAATTTTGACTTCATTGATTTTATGAGATTTATTCTGACAAAATCAATGTTAATATGTAATAAGACAAATAAATAAAGTCTTTTTATTTTGGTAAAGATTTTACGTCTTTTTTTTTTTTTACTTGTCAGATGTTATGAGAATTTTTTTTCTTAAACTGATTTTATGGGATATAAGACAAATAAATAAAATAATTAAATAAAATTTTGGATAGAAATAGCAATGCATTAATTATGTTGACTTTTTAATCTACTAAATTTGGTAAATATGATACCTTATATAAGAAATATAGATACAAATAAATAACATGCCAAAATTTTAAAGAATAATTAATGTATTTTAATTTATTATCTAGCCATCAGTAATATCATTTAATGATGTGATCATTATCTCTTAAATGATAAATAAAATATTAATTAAAAAAATATTTGTTTTTTTATATACTCAAGTAAAAATTAAAAAATACTATCGACAAATATGAATTATAATATATATCAGTAAAATCATTGCAGAAGTTAATAAAATTATTGAAGGAAATAATCTTTTTGATCATATTTGAATAGAAAATGTATATATGCAAGCAATTAATGCATATAGTAAAAAATTTCTAAATAAAGTATGCATTAAATGTGAGTTGACTTTTCTTGCTACTATTTTTAGTAAATAGTATGGCTTTTAATATAATTATAGATTGCGTATTTATTTATGTATGTTAACTAAATATTGCATTTGCGTAGAATTAATTTAGAATTGCATAGATATTTAAATATTGGGTAAAATACTTTTTCCCATCCGAACTATCACGGTTTTGGCGCATCACCATATAAATTATTTTTTTTTACAAACCACCATATGAACTATACGGGTTTGTCAATATGCCCCCTAAACCGGATATAAAAGT